TTCTTGGTTTTGGCACAGGCAGACACAATACTAATTGATCCAATCCAGACTTTGAGAAGGAAGTTCTGGGTTCGATTCCAGCCAAGGGCATGCACCTTGATGGTAGGCTCCTCCCCAGCCTCTACCAGGCCATGTGCAGGCAACCAATTGATGTGTTTCTCTCACATCGATGTTTCTCTCTGTCTTTCCCTCTCTCTCCCTAAAAGTCAATGGAAAAATATCCTTGGGTAAAGGTGAACAAAAAATAATAATAATAATTTAAAAAATATATCCCATGTTGAACTCTATTTTGGGTTAAATGTGGATTTAGTCTCTACCATCAACATTGCTCTGGTCTCCTGCTACCATGTGTCTTCTGATACCCAAGAGGGAGATCATCGGAGAGCACGTGTGTACTTAAAACTTATTTGTCTAAGTACATAGTTCTCAAAAGGTTGGATGCCTACATCTCCTTGGCAAGTCATCAGTAATAATAATTAAAGTTTCTAGGGTTCGTTCTCTAGTGCTACAAAAAGCAAAGTAAAAGCAGGATCAACTGTGCTTTTTGAAATGCTGGAAAAAATTCTTTGTTTCTTATGACTGCTAGAAGCCAAAAAAGTTCTTCTCTAAAGATAATTTCCATTTCTGTTTTGTGGGACATAGGAGTAATAAGCAATTTGAATTAAAGGCGAGAGATCTGGATTTATGTACACAAATTCATTTATTCACTAAATATGTATGGAGTCCCCACTGTGCCAAGCATGTGCTGGGCCTGTAGCAGTGAGCAAAACAGGCTCCAGTCGTAACAAGCACACCTTCCACTGGGCAAAGTCAGACCGTGAACATGCATCAGTCTAGTCTCTAGTTTTCAGCAAAGCTATTTAGAGACTCAGGGTGGACCAGTCCTGCTGACCTCACCCTGATGCCCTGAACTGGAGGATTCCAGAAAGCTATAAACAAAGCAGCTGGCCTCACATCTGCCATTTAATGAAATAGCCAGGAAAAAAATTGCCATGAGAGTGACACACACCAAAACAGCAACCATTCAGCCACACAGGAAGTGCTAGTCCTGCATGGGAATTCTTAAGGACGTGGACTCCTCAGAAGGGTGGGGCTCTGGGAGGGCGTACATGCTCGCCAAGGACGCCTCCTGGTGCCTGGGGGACTTCTTCCACTTCCGTGCACCTGTTCTGCTGTTATATTCATACACATTCCCAGAGACTGTGGGGAGAACACAAAACACAAAGAACGTAGATTATAATGAACTCACAAAGCACTGGTTCATCCCACAAAGTGTTTACTGAGCATTTGCTATACGGCCAGTAGTGACAAGCTGTTTGTCTTTTCAAGCCTTGCTCTGCTACCAAAGGGAAAATGAGAAGCAAAACTTGAAGCAGTGTGTGATTTCACATGCATTAAAAATTGCCCCTTTAGCACTAGAGGTATCATCTCTGGTGGAGGAATGGTTTTTCATCTTAACCATGGTAGTGGTCATCTGAATCTAGATAGGTGATTAAATGTCACAGAACTATTCACACAGACATAAAAAAATAAGTGCATGCCCAAACTGATCAAATATGCAGTCCAGTTCATTGGCCAGTGTCAGTTTCCTGGGTTTGGTGCCGTAGCTTTAGAAAACATTGCCTTTGGGAGAAGGTGGGTGATGGGTATAAAGCACTTCTCCACGCAATTTCCTGGGAATCTCTAATTATTTTAAAATCAAACATTTTTTTAAAAAAACAAGTCAAATTATTGTTTAAATTTTCCCTCAAGTGAGGTGGGTGCCTTACACAGTGTCTAAGGTTTAATCTACCAATGCTTTATAGAAATAATAATGAAATATAGTAATATACAAGAGAAAAGAAACAGGGTAAATAGGGCCTGATAGAGTAAAAATTCAACATCACTAAACATCAGAGAAATGCAAATTACAACCACAATGAGATCACCTCACACCTGTCAGAATGGCTACCATCAATCAATCAACAAACAAGGTTGCTGAGTGGTGGGAAAAGGGGAACCCTGTGCACTGTTGATGAGACGGCTAATTGATGTAGCCACTATGAAAGTATAGAGGTTTCTTAAAAAATTAAAAATAGAACTATCTTATGGCCCAGAAATTCCACTTCTGGGTATTTCCAAAGAAACCCAAAAGATATATGCACCCCTATGATCACTGCAATGCTAGAAACAACAACCTAGATATGGAAGCAATCCAAGTTCCATCAATAGATGAGTGGATAAAGAAGATGTGGTAATTATATAATGGAATATTCAACGACCATAAAAAGGAATAAAAGCTTATCATTTGTGACAACAGGGATGAACTTAGAGGGTATTGCCTTAAGTTAAATAAGTCCGACAGAGAAAGACAAATACCATATGACTTCACTGATATGTGATCTAAAGGATAAAAGAAATGAACAAACAAAACAAAAAGAGACCCATAGATACAGAGAGCAAACAAAATGAGGGCTGCCAGATGGGAGGGGGGTTAGGGAGCTGGGTGAAAAGGGGGAGGGATTAAGAAGTACAAATTGGTAGTGACAAAATAGCCATGAGAATGTAAAGAACAGCACAGGGAATATAGGCAATCATATTGTAATAGCTATGTATGATGCCAGGTGGGTACTTGAATTATCAGGGGGATCACTCCGTAAATTATATCATTACCTAACCACTATGCTGTACAGCTGAAACTAATATAAAATAATATTGAATGCCAACCATAATTAATTTTTTTTAATTTTTAAAGAGTAAGTGGGACCCACCTGAGCCTAACTATGCAACTAACCCCAAGTTGTCAGGCATGTGATTAAGCCACTTCGGACCTACCAGACCACACCAGCTGCCAATGAAGTTCCTTTTAATACAATAAAGCCAATGAATTGCCCAGGTGACACCTGCACAAATTCTTGACCCACAAAAATTTGAGATATAATAAGATGGTTATTGTTCTAAGCCAGTAAGTCTCAGGGTAGTTTACACAACAGTAACCAGGAAGGGAAAAATGTGTTTTATTTGGCCTGGAAAATGGAGTTTGTTTTAATTGAACTACTTACCTACACTTAAAAATGGGAAAATTTCATGTAAAAATTTAGATTTCCAGCTTCTTTTTAACCATCAGAATTCTGGCAACTCCAGGCCTATTCCCAATGTGGCAATAAATTGATGGAGCCCAATAATAGTTATGGCTCCCAAGCATCAACCTCCATTGACGACTGAACTGTCTTATATGGCACCTTCTGGTCATTTATTTTATCTGCCTGGACCTTGAATGGTTTGCTTTAGTACAGATTCTCGTTATGCAAAGCACAGCGAATAAGTAATTTATTCACATAGCTTAGCATCCAAATAGGCAAAAGAAGCTTAACTTAAAGATACTTCAGCACCATACCTGGATCAATGGCTTCTCCATCAAATATAGTTTCATAGACAATGGTTTCCTTTTTTAAAAAAAAAACAACAACACAAAATATTAACAATAAAGTCAGCTTGATAAAATTAATTTTGACAAGTGCTGAGTACTTTGAGCAGGTGACTTCTTATGAGTGACCTTGTTTTTCTTATGTAGAGAGCTAGCAGCCCTGGTTCAAAACTGTCCTGCTGTTCTTGTCTCCTCCCAGCCCCAGCCCCACATCAGCCTGCCCACCGTGCCCTCCCTCAACTCAGCCCTTCTTACTGATGTGAAGTCTCTTATCTTGAAAGGGACATGTTAGGGCTGACTTGTGCTCCCTCAGACTTCATATGTTGAAGCCCTAATGCCCAGCACCTCAGAATGTGACTAGATTTAAATATAGGGCCTGGAAATAGGTGATGAAGGTAAAATGAGGTCATGTTGCTGGGCCTTAATCAAATATGACTGGTGTCGCTGTAAGAACAGAGGTTAGGACACAGACCAAAGAGATGAGAAATGACCATGTGAGGACACAGAGAGAAGGCAGCCATGTGCAAGCCATGCAGGGAGACCTCAGAAGACACCAAACTTGCTGACCTTCCCCTGAGACTTCGAACCTCTAGAACCGGGAGAATAGAAGTCTGGTGTTTAAGCCACCCAGTCTGCACTATGTTGTTTTGCCAGCCCTCACTCGCTAGCAGAGGTGCTTGGCTGGCATCAGTTTCATAAAGGAAGACGCAGGGAAGAGAGCACTGAAAGAGAACCAGCTCATGAAACAATGTCATGGTCAGTCAGGGCTCAGGTAGAAATGCCTGTTGTTAATGGGGCAGCAGGTGGAGAGAGAAAAGGGAGATGGAGACTGAAAAATGCCTTCTTGCCCTGGCCGGTTTGGCTCAGTGGATACAATGTCAGCCTGTGGACTCAAGGGTCCCGGGTTTGATTCCAATCAAGGACACATGCCTGGGTTGTGAGCTCCCCAGTGTGGGTATGCATGAGGCAGCCAGTCAATGATTCTCTCTCAACATTGATGTTTCTCTTTCTCTCTCTCTCTCTCTCTCTCTCTCTCTCTCTCTCTCTCTCTCTCTCCCTCTATGAAATCAATAAAAAAAATATTTGCTTCACATATCTACTTCCTGGAATAGCCTTACCCTTGTACAGTTATTGACGTGGATCCATTAATGAATGAGTATCAGCCAATTTAAAGATTTCAATACAACAGGGCATAGATTTTACTACCTGCTAAGAAACCCCAAAGATGAAGGACTTATTCAGCTTTATCACATATGTAATCTATTTTCAAATCTAGATTTTTTTCTTTTTTGATGTACTTATTTATTTACTTAACACCACCTTGTTGTGAAAAAGCAGATCTTATTTTTAAGCAATGGTAAATAATGTTGTTTTTGCTGAATACACATACAATATCAGCAGCAAAATTGGACCTAAGCGAGATTCTAAGAGTGGATCTGAAATCCCATCTTTGTAATTCAACAGAAACTGATACATTGAAATAATTTTATTTCCTTTCTATGATGCCTGAGTAAATTTACCGTATGTTTACATGGAAGAGCTTTTTATTGAACAATAATTATAGAGAATCTGTAGTCCTCTTTCTTCTAACTACGGAGGGCTCATAAAAAATGTACTTACTGTTAATACTTCCAGTTTTTTATTTCTGTTTTCCATGACAATCTTTTCCATTTGATTTCTATCTCCTGTTCAACAAATACATAAACAAACAAACAAATAAATGGCAGGTATCGATCTAATGAGTGGCTTTTCAAAATCACACAATTCATAATAATCATGTGACAATGAGCAATCTGTATCTTACCTGCAATGTACTTTATTCCCCTGTATGAAAAGAAAATTTGACAAAATATCAGCTTCATTATGCTACCACATGGCAAAAAAAATCACTTTTTGCAGCACCTGGCTATTACCACATCTCTCTTATTCCCAATTGTTAAAACAATTCTGTATGGCGAACTCATCTCATTAACCATTACCACCTCCCGTCGCTGAGTCATAAATGATCTCTGCTTAGTTAATAAAAACTCATAATCAATTCAATTTCAGAGGCCATGGTATTCTGCGCCCTGATGAGCTATTTTTGGATGGTGATGAAAGCATCTGCATTTTCTCCATTTCTTTGGCATCTGCCCAGTTTCACAGAGATTCAAAGCAAGTGTGGCGAGGGCACCTGGACTCACCACCTGTCCGCAGTCCCCCCGTGGTCGTCACACACCTGCCCGTGATGCATGCTCAAAATAATATGGGAGTTGTTTGGCTTGTCTGCTCACAAATTGATTTGTTTAAAATCTACTCTCACAGCAAATGTGTTTCAGAGGCTCTAAGGTAGAACCCAAAGATACGCTGTGCTCTTTTTTAAAGTTAGAGCAGGTTTGGAGCCTTGAAAGGGACCGTCGTACTTTGTTTCCCAAGTACATTCCTCTGTGCCCCTCAAAGGCTCTCAGGCAGAAGCCCTCAGTGTAGCATCACCAAAGGATTCCAACTCTTTACATCAGAAGCTGAGAAAGAAAAATCACATACTTGGGTTTGGGCTTGGAGACTTCCTTGGCCGTTTTCTGACAGCATCCCATGACGTTCCCGTATCTCCAAAGCAGGAAACATACCCAGGAAGCCAACCCGGCAAAGAAAACAGCCATCAGCGTGAAGATGAAAGGAATGTACCAGCCACTGGATGTGTATGTGTTGATGGCTGTGTACACGATGGTCAGGCCTTTTCTTTGCTGGGAAACAGTATTTCAAAGCAAACAGAGCATTAGTTTGTTTTCAGAGGGCATCTGTTTACAAATGAGCATCAGATGGAGCCATGGTCCCACACAGACAGTGGGGTATTGACCCAGATATGTGGATGTTTGTAAAACCCACAGGGGATACTGAGGAACACCCAAGCCCAAGAAGGCACCAATTTAAGGATCTGCAGGCTTGAACTGTATGCAATGACTGCATTTCCCATCATGACTGCGGTTTTCTCATCTGGAAAATCAAGGCGTTGAAGAAGATGGCATCCGAGGTTTTTTAGGCTTGTATGCCTCTATTATCTACTCCACACAGGATAAACCCTTTTGTGCAGCTTGAGAGAACAGTGTTTCCTTAAAAATCAAATATTCTGGTGGGAAGATTTATCATCCATGTTGTAAAAAAAATGACTGTACTTCAAAGGATAGAAGACAATAGCATACACTAACCCCACAGTCTCCTGCACAGGCTTTCTCCTTGGCTGACTCTGAAGCTGTTCTGGATCCTGCCGAGGCTTTGCTGCTCTATTTTTGAAATCACAAAATACTAAAGGGTCTGCTAAACTTCACAGGCTCAGATCAAACATTAGATTAAATGATGAATATAACACATGTACTACAGTGCCTGGCACATGAGAGGTGCCCATTACTATGAATAATATGGCCAACAGAGAATAACATTTAAAAGTGCCAATCTGTGAACCCTAGCTGGTTTGGCTCAGTGGATAGAGCCTTGACCTGTGGACTGAAGGGTCCCAGGTTCCATTCTGGTCAAGGGCACGTGCCCGGGTTGCGGGCTCAATCTCCAGTGTGGGGCATGCAGGAGGCAGCCGATCAATGATTCTCTCTCATCATTGATGTTTCTAGCTCTCTCTCCCTCCCCCTTCCTCTCTGAAATCAATAAAAATATTTTTTTAAAAAGTGCCAATCTGTAGAGATTTAACTGGTAGATTTCATTGGCCAGTGGGCCTGTCTGGTGGGCCAGGCTTTCAGGCCATCTAGACATAATTAGTTCCTTGGGGGTCCACTGTGCTCCACCTGCAATTATCACAAATTCTCTCTCACCCACTGTTTATACTCACTGTTTATATTCAGGGATGCACACTATAAAATGTTGCCTGTTGAGTGGATGGGGTAGTGCACAAGTGGAAAGGCATTTGGGTGAAGGTGATGCCCTACATAGCCTTCTAGCCTTTCTAGATGAAACCTGAATTTACAAGAGAATATTTCCCACACAGAGACCCAAATTAAAATCCATAACTCTTTACTTCAGAGCTGGTGGTTGCAGGCGGTGGCACGTTGGCCCTTGCCACATAAATATCTATAATAGCAGTGCCTGTCCTAGGCTTGGTGGCTTTGCCGTATTTCAGGTTGTCATCGATTATGTGGACCATGAGATGGTACTGCCGCTGCAATTCAGCTCCAGATTCAAAGTGAAACGGGTTCTTCACAATTAATTTTGGAGTATTTGAACCTCGAGTTGGGTCAAATCCAAAGTGATGGTTCTCATTTCCTTTAAAAGGGATAATTTAAAAATTATTTTGAGATATGTTAAAAGGTCTTCTCTAACTGTCATAGGTAGCTTTTGAAACACAATAGTGATAAATAAATAAAATTTCTATTGATCTATGAATTCCTACATCTATACAAGACTTATAATAAATTGAAGTCAAGTAAGTAATAAATTCAGTTGGTTAGAAAAATTTTAAAGGTTAAGATCATGAGTCTTATCTCCATATAAGGTCAGCAAGCATTAGACTATTATCAAATTACTCTGCCTTAATTGCTTCCCCTTCCTTTATCTCCCACTCACAGAAATTTTATTTCCACTGTCAGCTTAGTAATCAATATCAATGGGCCAGTCAGACCACAAATATCTATTGAGCCCCTATTCAGTTTCAATGGCCCTGGAGACACTATTGTAAAAGAACATGCACATAGTACCCCACCATCTAGCAGGAGAAGCAGACATGGAACTAGTCCTTGTAATTCATTGTCAAGGTGTTTACTGACATCCACACTCTGGTTCTTTCAGGAGAGTTCGTACATGACAGCAGGTCTGACCTCCATACTTTAGGAACTTCTCCTTGTTATATTGTCTCATGATACCCAGTAATTTTCCTTAATAGAACTTTTCATACTTTATAATTTTCTAATTGCTGATCTTACCACTCATTTAAGGAACAATGAGTTCCATGAATATAAGATTCATATCTATATTGTACCCTATTGTGTACCCATCTGTGTGTGTGTGTGTGTGTGTGTGTGTGTGTGTGTGTGTGTGTGTTGTGTTTCACCCTGCAGCAGGATAGCACAGTACAGGTTAAAACTAGAAGTAGAACTAACATACACATAATGTGTGGCACAAATTTTCCTAATTCTTTTTTTTTGGGGGGGGGGGTAATTAAATATTTTATTTACAGAGGAACTCTCATACGGTTCAAGGATAAAAAGAACGTTGATTGGTAACTGAATAGTGGAACGAATTAATGGAAACTTTGACACACAGGAATCACTTGGATATATATATATCCCAAATTTTCTATGTAAGAGCATGCCCTTACTCCAGCTTTCCTCCCCTTTGGAGAATCTTAGTCTATCTTTCACTCCTCTCTTCTAATCGTCTTTATGACCTTCCTCAGCCTGGACCCACCTGTTCATGCTACTTCTAGTAGGCCATGCTCTCCAGATTCACTAAGCTCTAGACATCTACAGCTGCCATTGGGGGCTGAATTACTTGGCTGTAACCATGGTGGGCTGTAATCAGAAGATCTCATGGAAATCCTGAGGCCTGGGCAAGGGTACTCTGAGGTTAGCGCTCCCTGCTGGGTCCTCCCACCCGACTCTGAGACAAATGGGCAAAGGTGAAAGCAAGAGAGAAGTGCCCTGGCCAGTGGGGCTTAGTTGGTTGGGTGCCATCCTGTACACCAGAGGCTGCCAGTTCAATTCCCCATCTTTAGTTCAGATTTGATCTCTAATGAGTTTCTTCCATATGTCATCTTATGACCAAAGTTGATATGGACCTCTGTGAATCCAACAATAACACAACTGATTCTCTATCCTAGAGAACCTGTGTCACTTAGCACATGGGAAGGGGGCTGCTGCTTTCAGCCAGCACAAGGAGAACAGATTTAGTTCCTTGTGACTTAACCAGCAGTGTTTCCCATGCAGGTCCAAAGTCTCTTCATTGTCAAGGGCCATTGAAACAATGATAGATCGCCCTAACCAGGTTGGCTCAGTGAATAGAGTGTTGGCCTGTGGACCCAAGGGTCCCAGGTTTGATTCCAGTCAAGGGCACGTAACTCAGTTGCAGGCTCCTCCCCAACCTGGGCCCTGGTCAGGGCATATGGAAGAGGCAACCAATCAATGTATTTCTCTCACATCAATATTTCCCTCTGTCTTTTCCTCTCTCTAAAAATCAATGAAAAAATATCCTCGGGTGAGGATAAAAAACACAGAAATCAATTATAGTTCCACAAGAGGAATTAGATTGGATGTGTGGAAGTGAATAGGGTTCCTTGGAGAAACGTAATGCCATAGATATGAAATAGCTTAACATTTATAAACATAGTTATTTCCAAGGTTATATCATGTTAAAGAGAATATGACTAAATGTCAATTTAACACATGCTATGATTTAAAAAAAGAAATAATAAAAAAAAGAAATAATAAAATTATCCACCAGAAACTATCTCAAAGCGCATTTCAAAATCTTGTGAATCTCTGTCGTGGCAGTTTAGTTTGAAGCCATTGACGTTTGTCCCAGCAACAACATTGTCAAAAATGACGGCCTTATAGAGAGAGGGTGTGCAGACAGGTGCCTCGTCATTCTCATCTTCGATGTCTACAGTGACCTGTCAGCAGGGAGGGAGACAGAAATATCACATCCACGTCGTGTGACTATTTATACACAAAATCTGAAATAAGTATCTGGGCAGAGACAGACCACTTAGAATTACTAAATTAAAAGTCTGCCATTGTGAGTTTGAAGAAATGTTTCTGCAGATTTGGGTTCTGGCTGTCAATCAACTATTCAGCTGGCTTATTATTCCTGGGTCGACTGTGACATTCAGTGTGGCCATTAGGGAGAGGTTGGGGCTCATTAGAAGAACCTGTGGAAAACTCAAAAATTTCATAAATGATGAGAAAAGGAAAGCTGGAGAATGATGCTGCTAAGAAGTGTAGTCCCTCGAACCTTTAGAATATTTCTGCTTCATGGCAAATATATCCTGAGTTTGCTCTTTTGTAACTTAGGTCCTCCTCTGCGTCGTTCTCTCAAGCACAATGCATTTTTTGGTAACAATATGATTACTTCAAAGTATGCTCTGACCTTAATCAGGAGCTCTTATCAACCTCGTCTTAATTAAAATACCATAACCTGGGAAACGGTGATTTACACGGGAAAAGATCAAAATATCAAGGCTTTTTAAATGTCAGTGATCGAATGCCAGTCAGATAAGAAAGGTTATCTGCCCACTCTCAGGTGAGTAATAGCTTTCTCATCATTTGCAGAATAGTCCCCGGTGTGCTCATACTTGCAAGTATTATCTTTTTAAAATGTTTTCTGTAATGTTTTAACAACACAGCTAAATTCTTGGGGAATAATTCATTCTTTAATGCTACTTCTGTAGATTGAATATAGTTATCTGTTCTCTTCAACATGTGGGGTGCTTTCATGTGATGTTAGGGAGACTGCTGTGATATAATGGAAACAGCACAGGACTGGAAGTCAGAAATCTTTATTAAAACTTTGGGCCTTCACCTTGCCAGGATAGCACATTACAGGTGAATACTAAGAGTATTCACACAGATGATACTCTGGTAAACCAAACAAAGAGCCTGCCCATTGTGATTTCTATGCTAAAGGTAGGAGGCAAATCCACAAACAAATTAACAAATAAATATATTAGGTAATGTCATATGGAAATTGAACTCTGCAGGTTAAGGAGGTAGAGATGGCGATGGAGTGTTCAGAGAAAGCCTTTCTGTTTTGACTCCCTCTCCTATTCCCTTCCTCCTCCCCCATATTTGATATATGCCCTCCAGCAAGTATATGTCCTCACAGAAGATGAAGAGTTAGGTCATGTGGTTTTAATTTGCAGAAATGATATGGTGCTGTTTCCTATTTCCTACTTTTCTCACAAAGCACCATATTCTCTTGCTGTTTCCATGCTGCTGTTTGGAAAACTAGTTTTCTATTTCTTCCTGATTCTTAGTGTCCCATCATATGCAGCTACCGTGTTTGATTCATTCATTCTCCTGACAACCACAGGGGTTGCTTCAACATTCCACCATCACACACAACAGAAAAGGCCCCTGTGGCCAGTTTCCTTCCTGCAGAAATGCGATCTCAGTGAGAATGACGGGTGGCAAGCATGACAGCGTGGTCAAGGCTCTGAGGCGCAGACATCCTTGTCAGCTGAAGTGAGGTAAGAGAGGGACAGCTAGAAGCTAAAGGCAAAGAGGTGGCTGCAGGGCCCTGCAGACCTTAGGAATGGCATTGGAGCGTATGCCAAGTGTGACGGGACGCCATTGGAGAGCTTTGAGGAAGGGGATGACTTGTCTTTTTAAAGGTTCACTCTGGCTACTGTGTGACGAGTAGAGTGTCAAGGGCACAAGTGGAGGAGGAGATTGTAGTTATGAGGCTGCTGCACCAACCGGGTACTGGATGAGGGTGGCACAACCAGGCGTTAGCTGTGGGTGGCTGAGAATGGAAGCATTTGGGATATATTTTGAAAGTGGAGACACTTTATTTAACTTTGCTGATGGATTAGAGAGATGACTTAGAGTATATGATAGTGATTAAGGACCCAGAGTTAATTCTTCTACTTCTTTGGAGCTGGGTAAACTTGAATAAGTTACTTAATTTCAAAGCCTTGGAAATTAAAATTCTACTACCTGTAAAAAAAAGTATTAGTAACTACCTCATGGGATGGGATTGAAGATTAAATGAGACAGCGATGATATTGATGGGGTCGGTGACAAAAATGATGATGACGGATTTCTAAAATTTGGAGTCTGAAGACCTATCTCCCTTTTCTAAACTTAAACGTCACATTTATCTATAGCATCCATCTACTCGCTATGTACTGTTTAACTTTTCCTATGATAAAAATGTTAAACTCCCTAACGGTATGGTGTCTTACACATTTTTGTAACCCAGGATGTTGTGCACAGAGTAAACAATTCAATAAATATTTGTTAAAAGAAAGAAGGAAATTTTGTAACTATGTAAGGTGACAGATGCTAACCAGACTTATTGTGGTGATCATTTCCCATTTATGCAAATATTGAATCATTATGTTGTATACCTGAAATTAATATAATGTTATTTGTCCATTGTACCTCAATTAAAAAAATTGTTTTAATGAAAAAAAAAAAAGAAGGAGCCCTGGTCATTTGCTCAGTGGTTAGAGCGTCGGCCCATCCACTGAAGAGCTGCCGTTTTGATTCCCAGTCAGAGGCATATACCTGGGTTGCAGGTTCAGTCCCCAGCCCCGGTCAGGATGCATGTGGGAGGCAACCAATTGATATGTCTCTCTCACATCGATGTTTCTCTCTCTCTCTCTCTCTCTCTCTTTCTCTCTCTCTCTCTCTCTCTCTCTCTCTCTCTCCTCCCTTCCACTCTTTCTAAACAAAAAAATCAATGGAAAAAATATCCTCAGGTGAGGATTAAGAACAACAACAGAAAAGAAGGGATAAAAAGTTTCTTCTCGCCCTGGCTGGGTGGCTCAGTTGGTTGGAGTGTCATCCCATACTCCAAAAGGTTGCAGTTCGATTACTAGTCAGGACACATTCCCAGGTTTCAGGTTTGTTCCCCAGTTGGGGCGTGTGCCTGAGGCAACTTATTAATGTTTCTCTCTCATATCGAAGTTTCTCTCTCTCCCTTTGTCTCTAAAAATCAATAAAAACATATCCTTGGTGAGGATTTTTTTTTAAAAAAAAAGTTCCTTTTCTGTCTTTAGCCAAAAATGCAAATTCTTTTTATAAGTACAGAGTCCCTTGAAGTTGCTTTTTTATCTGCTTCCCTCTCTTCTCATTTGTAATAAGTGCATGATAATTGCAAGTGGTGACTGTTAGGTTGGAGAGAGCCTAGGATCGGACACATGCAGAGGTGTGATGAGATAATGGACCCTCCCTGGAATTTCTTACAGATCAATGTGCCAGACACAGATACCGGATCCTCCCTGGAATCCACACGACCCCCACACAGATACTGACTCCTTCCTGAATACCCTGCCCACCCCCTGTGGCAGAGACTTCCTCAGCTCAGGCCCCGCCCCTCACCAAACACCTGTATAAAAAAGAAACCCTTCCCTCCCTGGGGGTGAGGATTCACTGGCCCCACCTTCTGGGCTGGTGGGTCTTGTGGAGAACGCAGCATTAAACTCCCCTCCTTCTCTCCTCTTTACTCGTTTGGTTCTCTTTGTTCTCTACGCCCTTTTCTGGGCCACCTCACAGGGGCATCCTATACTAGCTGGGGGGTTCATAAATGTCTACAAGGAAAACTGCCGCAGATACCTAAGTATGGAGAGCACGCTCGCAGGTGCTTTCCTGAGACAACCAAGCTACAGAGTCCTGTCCACATGACTGTACTTCGGTCCCTGTGGCATCAACCTAACTGCTGCTGCGAACGGACCTGATGTTTTCCTCACAATGACCCCTCAGGAGACCTAATCACCAGGGGTGAGCAGCCAGCCAGGGGGCTCTGGACAGTAAGAGGAAAGGCACGGTGAGTCATCAGGCCAGCTGGGGATCTTAAAATTCTTCCATCCTGCCCTGGCTGGTTTGGCTCAATGGATAGAGCGTTGGCCTGTGGACTGAAGGCTCCCAGGTTTGATTCCAGCCAAAGGCACATGCCGGGGTTACAGGCTCAATCCCCAGTAGGGGGCGTGAAGGAGGCAGCCAATCAATGATTCTCTCTCATCATTGATGTTTCTATCTCTCTCTCCCTCTCCCTTCCTCCCTGAAATCAATGTAAAATATATTTTTTAAAAATTCTTCCATTCTATTTCTGTTTCTTGTCCAGTGACAAAACCTTCTAGTCATTAATAACACATACCACATCATCAACATAGCAGCACCCAGTCTTGATATCTTTTAAGAATCCTTTGATGTTTCTAAAATAATTTAGAAGCCCACACACACTCTCCCCCACTGTGATGCCACAAGGATGCCCCTTGGTTAACTACCTTCGTTGTAAACATTACCTCCCAATGAGAGGCAGCCTGGATTTGCATCCAGTTCTACAAACCCTCAGTAACTGCAAGTAATTTTCCTAAACTCTGTGCCTGAGGTTTCTCATCTGTTCAGTGGAAATGATGATAATACTGCCTTCCATGAAGACTGAATGTGAAGATGAACTACATCGACATATAAATTGTGCCAAGAACAAGAGCTCACACATGATCAATGTTAGATGTGTATTTGCAATTACTACAAACTTTTTAATCTCATGAGAATTACTGTTATTATTTGAGCATTTTTCACTGTTGTTGTTTGACCATTTCAATTTTAATACATGAGAACTTGATGGGTCATCTTTATTATATCAAAACCTGAGGCTCTCTACTCACCATGGTCATCGCTGTGCGAGGATGAAGTCTGTCGCAGTCCACACCTTCCACCGTGAGGTTATACTGCTTCACAGTCTCGTAGTCTGGCTGTGTGGTGAGCTCAATCATTCCAGAGAGAGGGTGAATCCAGAATCTTTGTATAACTTGGGTGTCTCCACTAGCTATTTTGTACGTAACACAGTTCGGTGGGTAGTCTTCATCAGTGGCGGTCACTCTTCCAACTTTGTAGAAAGCTGCCAGTAACAGTTATTAAGGTTCATTCTTGTCATGCAGATACACAAGTTTAAAAAGCTGGACAAGTCTTTGCCTTCCAAATAGTATCATAGTTTCTCAAAGGGCCAATCTGAAAGCCTTTGGACAAAGAAATGTGCTTGAAAAGCCCAACCCTACGTAATGGAAGTGGCATAAGTCAAATAATATGAGGTAACAAGAATTTCATAATATCAATAATTACGCCCTAACCGGTTTGGCTCAGTGGATAGAGCGTCGGCCTGCGGACTGAAGGGTCCCGGGTTCGATTCCGGTCAAGGGCATGTGCCTTGGTTGCAAGCACATCCCCAGTAGGAGTGTGCAGGAGGCAGCTGATCGATGTTTCTCTCTCATCAATGTTTCTAACTCTCTATCCCTCTCCCTTCCTCTCTGTAAAAAATCAATAAAATATATTTTTTTGTAAAAAATAAATAAAAAATAATTACTTACATGTATTGCATGCTTATTTCCTACCAGACATTATACTAAGACTAGAGGCCTGGTGCACAAATTCACGCATGGGTGGGGTCCCTCAGGGTGGCCTGCAGGGATCGGGTGGAAACCCACAGTCCAATGCCGCCTGCCGCTCATCCCGGCCCCACTGCGCCTGCCACGAGCTCACACCCAGTCAGTCACAATCAGGAGAGGCTCACACCGCTGCTGCAGCGTCACTTACCAGCCATGAGCCCTGAGTCTGGCACCCATCCCGATGGAGATGGGGGGGGGGGTGCCCTCCAGGAGAGTGGTGGGACTCCCTTGCCAGCCCAGGATCCAGATCTGTCCTGCTGATGTCCCCTCAACCATTTTCTGACTGGACTATAAGCTCCAGGGCGGATACCAGACCTCCTCCATGTAGTGAATACCACCACACATGACCAGTCTCAGCGACATCTGCATAGGACATTGTAGTTGCTGATCATCAAGACCAGAGAATTACTATGAAGGAACTATTATGGGACACCACCACCTGAACCTCACGGGATTTCTTTCACAGTTTGCATCTTTCTTTGACTAAGGTTCATCAGTCCCTGGTAATGTTATTAAGCAGGCAATGAACACAACTCAGAATACTAGGCACAGAGAAAACACACTTCTGGAAAGAAATAATATTTCATTATGGCAAACCCAGAGTATAAAGAGTCCAACCTAGAAAAAAGTGTTAGGACTGATCAACGGCCACTTAAAATAGATTAAGGGTAAAATTGCCATCTCTATCCTACAGTTCTAGGCAAAGTTGGCATCATTTTTGCATTTAACACCTGGTTAAGCATAATGGAAAGCCTATCCTTCTGTATATATAAAATTAACCCTCCAATAAAATTAAAAGCCATCTTGAGCATCTTTAGCTAAAGTTTGAAATAGAGTAATTATGAAACTCTGCAACTCGGCCAGACATCCTATCAAAAACCATTGGAAATGAAATATGTTTTCCCTTGTGACCTACCACCCACTGTGTTTCAATTTTCATGTATTTTCTTCTAAATGGTTTCTGTTAAAAGAATTTTTTGCCTATGCCTACCTCCCTCCAGAAGGTATTTGTCAAGGAGAGATTTAGTTGCTCATCACATACCATCAGATTTTATTTTAAGTTAAAATTATAGATTCCCATAATTTTGTTAGGATAACAAGAACCTCATGGTGCTCAAGGCACTCTGACACCCTATGCTGACCAACAGCATGAAAAACACTCCACGTTAATGGATTGTCCAATAGCCTCCTGGTCTACAGGCTAAAGGTTGGATAGTCTGAGGAGAGTTTGTTTTCAGAGTAGTTTTAACTTGTTAACTTCCTCATTTAAAATGAACCATCACTGAGTTGTGAAGAAGATTTAGTCTCCTCTGGTGGGCATCGCCTCAGAACACCAACCCTCCCTTAATTTCATTCATCTTTTGTCCTCTGGTAGGGAAGATCAAGGAATGTTTTGTGTGTTCTTTTAATGGCAAGGAAAAAATTATGGCACATTGTAGGCACTAAAATGTTAGTGGTTATTATTATTATTATTATTATTATTATTGGCAATACTATTGTGGTTTTTGTCAGTATGTACCATATACTTTACATGCATATAATTATCAGTTAATCTTCATCTCAACTATGACATTGTTATTGTAATCTCTATTCCCCAGATGAGAACTTAAAGGCACATGGAGGTTATATGACCTGCCTAAAGTTATTTGACTAACAATGGCAGAGATAGAATTTGAATCCAGTTCTATTTGATTCCAACTCTCATGATTTTTCTGCCACATCATGCTGCTCCCTATGAAGACATAGAAGTCCTCTCTCTGTTACAGCAGGACATTAACCAGCCTTTTGGAGAATAGGACACACACACACAACAAGATCCCCTTATCTCTTCCTATGAATTCTCTGAACTTGTTTTCAAACTACTGGTAATCCCAATCATCAAAATTCATCCAAGAAAAGCTGCCAGGAATACAAAACAGAGAAGTGGACCAGGAATTTGGAAGTCTGTATTACCCATCATCTCTGCCATTCACCAGTTGTGTGGCCCAATTCTCTGTCCAGCCCCCATCGTAAAATAAAAAGCTTGAATCTTTGCAGTCCTTCCAAATTGACAGTGCTGTAATTGAAAATTCTAAATCCATCCCATAAGCCATATTAAATTATGCTTAAGAAAAGCCAGCCGTGTTCAAAACATTTAGAGAGCCCTACCTTGAAAACATAAACTTATATTTCAGGACAGCTTCAGAGAGCTTGGTTCCTACAACATGCTGTCTTCTAAAAATGCCAGTCTCGAAAGGCAAAACTGTAAGATGGGGAAAAGATCTGGCGCTCCCAGGGACGGAGGGAGAGAGCAGGGAGAATAGGCAAGCACGGCTTTTAGGGCAGGGAAACTATTCCGTGTGATGCCATAAGGTAGATGAGTGTTATTACACATTTGTCCAGACCCATAAAATGTACAACACGAAGAGCGAACCTAATGTAACCTATGCATGTTGGGTGATGATGACGCGTCCATGTAAGTTCACCAGTTGTAACAATTGGACCCTCTGGTGGGGGATGTTGATAATGGAGGAGGCTATGAGTATATGGGGGCCGCAGGTATGTGGGAAATCTCTGTTCTTTTCTCTCAATTTTTCTGTAAACTTAAAACTGCTCTAAAAAATAAAGTCTATTTAAAAATGCCAAAAAATATAAAAATAAGATACCAATAAAAATGCCAGTCTCTATTTTAAATCCAGACTGGTTGCTGTGGACGTTGGAGGGTCATGGAAACCCTTCAGTCATCTGATGAAGGCTGTAGGTCTTTTCCCTGAGGGACCCTGGAAGCCAGTGCTCAACCCCTGCTCCATATTTATCATTTATCAGTTAGACGATCATTAGAAACTTGTGAACTATTTAACTTCTGTATAAAGACTCGCCATAAAGCCCCTCTAATAAAACTTGCTAGAGCTAGAAGACTACCTGAACTGGGAGAATTCAAGGGGAGAAAATAAATTAAGGGAACAAGGCTCTATCAACAAAAGAAATGACAATAAAACTCTATGGAGGAGCAGCAGGATCCTGTTTACAGTAATTCAGTTTATATGCAATTTTTCTAGAAGTCTGGTCATAAACTGTAAGATTCAACTGTGTTATGTTCCAGAACTAGGACCATTCGTGTGCATTCATTTTACAGAGAGTTTTAAGGATTTGTTCAAAATTACATGGTAAAGCCAACAAAGAACTAAAATCCAAATATGTGGGCTTTCTAGGTCTTGTCTGTCCTCAGAACAATTGTGTAATCATTGTATTGTTTGCAAGGAAACAAGCTGGTTTGAAGTAGTGGGATCTACCTGTGATGTGCTGGCAAATGATTAACAACCAACTCTCTGAGGGAAAAAAAAAGGAGTGTGTGTGTGTGTGTGTGTGTGTGTGTGTGTGTGTGTGTATGTCCACATAAATATATCAGCCTATTATAAACTTTACTGATATAAAAATATATAGCATAAAGTTTAGAAGTAATAATAAAATGCTAAATATTCTTTATTGTGAATTCCCATATAGACAATTGATTCTCACAGAATGCTTTTATTGAATTTGCTTAACTCCCTTGTCCATACAAATACTGTAATTGCAACTGACAGCTGATGGTAATTCCAACATGAATGTTAATTAATGTTTTCCATGTGTTAAAGAATAAGGTTAAGACTTCTGTTCATGATGGCTGTGTAGGAAAATCCAGTACTCTAAACTTCCCAAAACCATATCAAAATTACAACTAAACTACAAACCAACCATCATTCAGAACTGCCTGAAATATAGCTGCATGGAAGTCTTACGACTAGGGATTTAATGAAGAAGCCACCAAGTTTTACCAAACATTCAAAGAAGAACTAACTCTGATCCCCCTCAAACTATTCCAAATCATTCAAGATGAGAGAAGACTTCCCTTTTATGAGGCCCACATTACCTGAATTCCAAAACCAGATAAAGACACTACAAAGAAAGAAATTACAAGCCAATATCCCTGATGAACATAGATTCTAAAAATCTCAACAAAATATTACCAAATCAGATCCAGCAATACATGAAAAAGATAATACAACATGACCAAGTAGGATTTATTACGGGTATGCAACGCTTGCACAATACTCACAAAGCAATAAACATGATGTATCACATAAACAAAATGAATAATAAAAACCACATGATCATATTAATAGACACAGAAAAAGCGTTTGACAAAATCCAGCACCCATTCATGATAAAGACCATATATATATATATATATATATATATATATATATATATATATATATATATCTCCTAATTCAATCCTAAGTCATGGCTTAGAAAGGATCTTGACTCTGGACCTGAAATCTGACTTGAGATGTCTACAAAATATAAATTGCAGGGACAATGGCCACACTGTCCCTACCATCTTTACATTGGACCTAATCCAGATGCAGAAAAGAAGAGAAATGGAATAAAATTATTATCATGTCTATTTGTCCATTACAAAAATATCTGAGATCTGACATCAAATTGCAAGGGAGCTTTTGAGGAACCATCAGGATGCTGCACTGTCATTGCCATTCTCTGAAGGTCTGGAACCCCTTAAAGCTCCCTACGCTGTTTATGCTTTGTCATCTTTCCATTGGTCACCCATTTGGGATCCGGTAGGAGTTTCCTTGTGCTTCAACATCATGGAAGGGGGGATCTCTTACCTCCTGCTGTTTCTGGAACGGAGAATGCATAGTGCGCAGCCTTAAACACAGGGCTGAAATCATTGGCCGGAGCAATCTGTACAATGATCGTCACAGTTACTGTAAAATTGAACAGTGAATAAATGCTTTGTTGTATTGGCAGTTTTAGTCCACAAACAAGCTAAATGTGCCCCCCAAAACAGGCTTGCTGGAAGATTTTAAACTACAGTGAGATTCTCTCTGGTCCCAAATAATCCCTGTTCCCATGCTCTGCATTCTCAGAGAACATAAATGAATTCTAGCCAAAGCAATTAGTCAAAGATATACACCGTCTGCATGCCATGTCTTATTTTATACAATAGTGAATATGTATGTGTGTATCATATATAGCACACATATAGCACATATAGTTGTATATTTTACAAACAGGAGTTTATTGTATTTTTCATGAGTACAATCTCTTCCATTAGAGGTTTTCTTGGGGTGTCATTCTCAACCCAGCATATGACATACTACTTTCTGCTTTTACTGTATATCCTAGGAAGTGGCATGGAAAGGATTGGCTTTGACATATGCTCTATGGCCTTGAACTAGCTTAACTTCTCAGAGGCCCAGTTTCTTCATCAATAAAAAAGGAATAATATTCGTTTCAATCTCCCACTTCATAGCATGTGAAGACAAAATACGATCTTTCCCAAAAAAGTTTTCTTACACTATAAAAAGTTAAGTAAAAAGTGGTTAATGTATTTTACTCATCCCACTCAGATGTTTATGTACAGTGCGTCATGGGAAAAAATTATATTATTCATTTCAGACCAACAAGCTCAAACTAATGTATCTGAAAGTTGTTGAAAAGAAGAAATTTGATGGTCAAACATAAAGCAAGCAAATTGCAAAGAAGAAGCTTTTTCTAATAAAAATAAAATAATAACATTTACTATGCAACGCATTAGTAGTAGTTTTGTCCCCATTTTACAGATGAAGAAACTGAGGTTCTCAGAGTTAAGGGTTTTGCTAGGTCACACAGCTAGTAAGTTGTGGAGTGGGTATTGGACTTAGTTGTGTCTGCCAACATCTCCCAAAATATCTCCTCTGAAATGCTTAATGTGTCAAGTGCAAAATGCTGAGTTAAACAAAGATTTAAAAGTTTCTTTATGGCAAGACTTCATGGATTTCTGATATGTCATTCTGTGTTTGGAATGTCCAGGTATGCATTGCTCTCCACAGTTATCTGACCATGAAATTTTTTGTTAGTGGATTCTCTTGTAGAAATCATGTTCTGAAGAACACTTGTATATTATATCTCCTGAAAATCTATGTCACCTGTTAAACGAGAAAATTTAATCTGGGGTCTATAGGACCTCACTTAAGAGAATCCGTGGCATTCTTTATATTAGTTGTATTTTTCTAGGAACAGGGCCTACAGTTTTCATCAGCATCTGATATGTATCCTTGACACCAAGAACGGTTAGGAAGCGCTGTTCCACAGACACAGGTGATTTATGTGAAAGCCTCCATGTTTCCTTCAATAAATCCCAGGCAGGTGCCATAAGAGCAGGTGTCGTTTCCAGCTTTGCTGTACTATGATTTTTGTTGCATACATAAAGACTCGAAATTGTGCTAATTACCTGGCCTATAAAAATAGACTGCACCACGTGTGCAGTGTTAAAAGCACCCTTGATGAGCAGTTGCTGTGAATAAGTTGGTGTGTGAGGATGTGGATTTATTACTGTGAGATTTTTTTTTCTCTCCTTATTGGAGAAAGGCTCAAATCTGGTGAGAACAGATTCTTTAATGGATTAGTTAGGCCAACAGGATGAGTAGCTGCAAGAAAAAAACATTCTCCCTAAAAGACCAGCCAGGCTTTGCAACAGGCTTTTGCATGAAACAGTAAGACTCCCCCAATGAGGAGCAGAGAAAACACAAGAGGAACACTTCCGGGCATACTGTCATGATGTGTCCCCGTCCCTTACACATTCCTTCTCAACATAGTTGGGTCACTTAAGTCTACAAATCACATTTAAAACTTACATTTAAACTTAAACTCTTACATCTGTGAGTCAGGTGGGATCTAAAGAATTTGAGATCTGTTGCTTAAAGTTCAGCATTCAGGTCCTTTAGTTGCAAATCTGTCTGACACATACCACCCTTCCATCCTCCTCTGTCCATGCAAAGCCCTTTCCCACTGCTTCCAGATGTAAGCTCGGAGTCCTCCTTAACTCAATGATCCAGGCAAACACCACCAATGGATCGGAATTGGCAGAGGTCAAACCCAAACGTCACTCCTAGGTTCTCCCTTACCAGGCATTGACATTTTACCGCTAAGCCCGTGTCTGCAACCGCACAACCATCTTCTTGAATGTTTTGATGCCAATTGCCTACTAGATTACTTATTACCACAAGTTCCAGATACATAACAGACACTTGGCATGAATTACAGATGTATCCAGAAACTTTTGTGAGTCCCTATTTTCACTAATACTTCTACAGAAACAAATTCACTCTTGAAGTGTGGTGACATGTAGTTGAATATGTAAATGACTCCTTGGGGCACTCAGTGTGCGTTCTCACTGTACAACAATAAGCAGAGAGAGGCAGGTGTCCAGTGGTTGGCTAAGCTTACTCATAGCTAAGCACCCTGCTCTGATCCACAGCACACAATCATATCTGTGCCTCAGGGTGTTTTACAACTACCAAAACGTGACTGTTAAATCCACACGTGTCAAAGGACTGTGACCGTGCAGTCTGAGTAGATTTAATCTCAGAGCACCAACGGCCCATTCTAGCTCAGGTTAGCCCCAAATGGTGCAGCAGTGATGAGAAGACCAAATGGCAGAGAAGAGATTAACCAAAGAACTTACATGCATATATGCATAACCCATGGACACAGACAATAGTGTGATGAAGGCCTGGGGTGGGGGCGGGGGCGGGTTAGAAGGGGTCAATGGGGAAAAAAAGGAATATATGTAATACTTTCAACAATAAAGACAAGTTTTTAAGTGAGGAGTCTAAAGTAAGCGCCTTACTTAGTGCTCCTTGACAAGTTTATGAAGCTTACCCGTGTGGGAGGGATGTGGGTCATCAAATACTGAAATTGTCATTTCATAGGTGTGTCCAGCAGCAATCATCTCTGGGTCTTCATAATCCATTGCTTTGGCAACCTTTTAGAAAAAAAATTATTTCAGGAGAAGGGCCTGGCTTTTTTAATGAACATGTTTTAAGTAATAAATCATTCTGGAAAAGGCGCGAGTATGGCCATTGGGATTCAGTCGAGATGGCGTCAGAATACACTGAGACTGGTCAGTGTGGCACACTAAGGGAGGCATCTTGGTGGGAAAAGGGGACACCTTTGATCTCCTTCCAGAGCACCTTATTTTTGGACAAAGCATCCTGGCATAATAGAAAAAAAACATGGGTCACATCTGCCTTCAGTAAAATAACTAAAAAGAGAAAATAATTTGAAAGTACTTTGTAATTGATAAAGCACTCTAATAAATGTATGTTATTCCTATTGTGACAAGTTATCATTTTTTTAAATCCTCACCCATGGATGTGTTTTTATTTTTTAATTGACTTTAGAGAGAGAGGAGGCAGGGAGAGAAACATCAATGTGAGAGAGAAACATTGATGGGTTACCTCCTGTACATGCCCTGAAAGGGGGTCAAACCCGCAAGCTAGGTATGTGTCCTGTTCAGAAATCGAACTGATAACCTTTTGGAGCACGGTACAATGCTCCAACCAACCTGGCCAGGGCTACTCACCATTTTTAAATGTTTATTGAGTACAAATTAAGTTCCAGGTAGAATCAAAGGTGTTAGGGATATAACAATAAACAATATGATCCCACAGCAGAGACCTGATGCCAACCCTCATATAATAATAGCATTGGCACAAAGCTCAGTTGGAATGGGTCTATATAACACCAAGTACCCAGGTGTTTGGTAAAAACTACATTTTTAAAAATTTAGTATCTGGTTCAGACATTTATTCATTTATTCATTTATTCAAGTATATTGAGTACCCAGGATGCACCTAGCACGACAGGAGGTGTTAATACACAAAAAATGGACCACTCAGAATATGGACCAACAACTAAATAAGCAGTTATAACAGAATCTAATAAATGTTTTTTTAAAAGGATAGTTTATTGATTTTTGAAGAGAGAGAGAGACATCAATGTGAGAGTACATCATCAATGGGCTGCTTCCTGCATGCCCCCAGCGTGATGGAGCCCAGGACCTGCACTTGCGCCCTTGACCGGGAATCAAACAGAAACCTCCTGGTGGGATGATGCCCAATCAACTGAACCACACCAGCCAGGCCAGAATCTAATAAATGTTTGACAGGAGAAGTAGAACTTACAATATGAGCTCATATCCAGGAGAACTAAGCTAGTCATGGTAGTAAAAGAAAGGTTATAGAGCCCTGGCCAGTTTGGCTCAGTGGATAAAGCATCAGCCTGCAAACCAAAGAGTTCCAGGGCCACATACCTTGGTTGCAGGCTCCTCTCTGGCTCAGGCCCTGGTCGAGCTCCTGCAGGAGGCAACTAATCAATGTGTTTCTCTCACATCGATGTTTCCCTCTGTCTTTCCCTCTCTCTTTCACTCTCCCTGAAAATCAATGGAAAAGTATCCTCGGTTGAGGATTAACCAAAACAAAAAAAAACACACACACATAAAAAGCTTATAGAAATAAGTGGTATTTAAGACCTAATGGATAATTATGAAAATGTAGAAATTAATTAAAGGTAGGTGATAGGTGGAAGGAATTTTTCATAAATAGAGCAGGCATTATGTGATGGCCCAAATGTCAGTTAGCATCGTGCTTACAAAACTTGCATCTTTATCCAAACTCCGTTTTTGTTTTTTTAAATGACAGTTTGGCTTTGCATTTCAAAATAAACATCACCCCAGAAAACCTCTTGGCTCAGTGCCCAAGCTTCCAAAATTCACAACATGTGCAAAACTCAACTTGTATCTTGTGGTGTTTGTCAAGAAAATCTAGGGTTAGGACCAAAGCAAAAGAGAGGTGATGAATGGCTTTCTTGGCCATATCTTCTGGCTGAAGGGAAGTGTTTGGTGATGTTTGGGTGAAGGAACAATTATACCAACCAAACAGGGATTGGCACAAGAGGAGAGCTGGCAGTGAGAGAAGAAAGGACTTGCCCACAGGCCTTCCAGCAAGACAGCGAAGGAGGCCAGACCCTCTGCTGTGTCAGAGTTCCTCTTGCTGACTCTACCAGCACCCAGCTATGGCCATGAATGCCCCCCTCCTTGGGAAACCTCCCGGCAGATACAACAGCTGGGGCTCACCTGGACACAGTTTTCAGCCTTCGGCACCTGCCTGAAGAGCTGTCCAGGCCCCACTGGCCCTGAGCGTGGAGCATAATGTATCATATCAGGAGGCTCGTCAAGGTCATGACACAAGAGCTTTGAAACTACTGTATTATTTGCTATTACCTCTTTGCCTGTGTACCTGTTTTTTAAGAAGAAAGGTCAGTTTAGGTGGATAGTCTTTTAAAATGTAATATTTTTCACATAAACATCCAGCAGTCTGATCAGTGCCTGTGTGTGATGCTCTACTTATCCCCAGTCCAGGTTTGGAGCATAACCTGGGAAGCCCTTTCCCAACAGGGCTGTGAATTTGGTGAGACTTTCCTCATGTTCTGGGAGTATTTCTTTTCCGCGCCCAGCCGGGTACTTGTTTAGAAGTCTATCAAGGTTGTCTCATCAATGGAGATGCTGGAGTAGGAATCAGAGAAGTGGGAATGTTCCCATCTGCAGCGTCTGTATGTCTGTATAGCAGGGTCAGAGGTGCAGTCCTCACGCTATGGTCGCAGTGGATTACCTCCATCTCTTTGTGTTCACCCCTGTCTTCCCTGTGACCTCTCTGCCCCAGTGCCCATTCGGAAGCCCTCTAAGTCTAAATTCCACCAATTCTTCAAAGACTAGCATAGATCTTGCTCTTGTAGGAAGCTCCCTGGATACTCAATTCGCACATGTTCTTCCTCTTAACAATTAAAGCACAACACACATAATTGAAAACTATCTTGTACTTTTTACTGTTGTCTTAGATGTAGTCATCTTATCACCCTGACAAGATACAACCTTCTAATCACAAATGAGCATAGCAGATACTTATCCTGTCACCTCCAGGGACTATAACCCTGGGTGCAGCGTGTGGTGAGTGTTTGATTAATGAACTGTGGTCTTCCTGGGGAAAGGAAAAGGGAAATGAGGAGGAGATAAAAAAGGATAACTTTACTGAGTGTATGCCAGCCCCATACTGAACAAATTCCAAACCTTGTTGTATTTGATTCTTACAACAATGCTATGAGGTAGGTGAGATTATCATCTCCATTTAAAGGGCAGAGTAATGGGGACCCAAATGAGACCACCTGGGTGTAATTATCAGAAGCTAGATAATCAGGAATAAAGCCTGGGGAACACAGAGGCAGCTGTCCTGTGTAGCTAAGAGCTTAGGGTGGGGTGGGGGACATGGAATAGTGACAGGGATGTGGGTTTAGAGATTAAGCTTCAAATAATAAAAAATGGCCAGGCTGACAGGAATACAGCCCAGAATCCCTATCCAAATTCCAAATCCAAAAGCTCTGAAACTCAGGATTTTCTCACAATTTATTTGTCATCAAATTGTAAATATCCAAACATTATCTGAACTGTCAGATCTTTCTTTGTCCTACTTACTGTGAGCACCCATATGTTTTACTACAGAGGTATGCATGGATTTGAATTTGGGACATTTGCATCATATATGGTATATACCATATTACCCTCCTAATATTAAAAAAAAATCTTTATCTTGAAATATATCCAGTGCCAAGGGTTTCAGAAAAGGGACGCTGGAACTGTGGTAGACAGCATTTATGGAACTGACACACATACTCAGCACTGTGCTCAAAATGTTATGTAAATAATCCCATTTATTCTTCAAAACCAACCTATAGACCAAGTCCTATTGTTATCCCTTTTTATAAAGAAAGAAACTGAAGATCATGGGGCTTAAATAAATTACCCAGGATCACACAGCTATAATCGATAGAACCAGGATCTCAAGCCAGGTCTGTGACTCCGAAACACACACTTTCTTTTATTTTTTTTAATTTTTATTGTTGAAAGTATTACATGTGTCCCTTTTTCCCCCTGCTGTCCCCACCCCTGCATCAGGCCCTCACCACCTTATTGTCTGTGTCCATGGGTTATGCATATATGCATACAAGTTCTTTGGTTGATCTCTTCCCACCCACCCCACCTTCCCTCTGAGATTCTGCAATCTGTTCTATGCTTCTATGTCTCTGGATCTATTTTGTTCATCAGCTTATTTTGTTCATTAGATTCCACATATGAGTGAGATCATGTGATACTTACCTTTCTCTGACTGGCCTATTTTGCTTAACGTAATACTCTTCCATGAAGTATGAATTACACCTTGTTCAGGTCCCTCCATGCTGTCTCAAAGGGTAAGAGATCCTTCTTTTTCACTGCTGCATAGTATTCCATGGTGTAAGTGTACACAGCTTTTTTATCCTCTCATCTACTGATGGGCACTTGGGCCAAAACATACACTTTGAACAACTTACTGTCAGATCCAGGACAGCAAGGCTGTTTAGCTTTCAACAGATCATTTCTGAGGACCAGAATATGAGACTGAACCGGATCAATGTGATGACTGACATTTAGTTGAGCCAATAAGTATGCAATACCTCTGCTCTCCACTCACTCTGAGTTCTCAACCCAGCCCACTTCTCTCAGCTCACCTAATCAGATACTGGTCACAGAAAGGGGAGTTGTCATTGATGCCGTGGACATAGACCGTCACGGGAAGTGCTGCACACCGCTGTCCCTGGTCACAGGCCTTAATGGAGAAGGACTGAACGCGTGCAAACCCAGCCCTCTCCACGTCAAGGCGTGCAGTGGTTACCACGGTCCCGTGCTCTGGAACAAAACAACACATCGTGCTGCAAACCGGCGCCCGCTGTCCTGACTTTATTACATGGCAATGAAGGAGATAAAGAATGAATCACACTTTGCTCAGTAGAATTAAGAAACTGATTTAAAATGTAGGCACGATGTGTAATTGTTTATGTACCGACATTAATCATATTATGTTAGCTGGTAGCAAAAACAAAATTGGGTTTTTATTTTTGGTTGTTTTGTTTTGTGTAGTTTTGTTTTACTTAGGAGGCCAGGGAAGACTTGCTAGAAGAGGGGACTTTTATTTAGGCCTTGAAGGACATGTAGGATAAGGAAATGGGGGTGAGACGGAGGAGATCATTCCCCGCAGAGAGAACATCAGAAGTGAAAACAGCAACAAGATCATGACTCACTGTACTCCCTTCCACCCACCCTCCCACCCATTCATTCAACAAACATTCATGGAGTGACAGCTACATGCCAGGAGCTGTGCTGAATACTGAGTACACCACAATGAAGCCCTGCCTTTATGAAACTTACAACCTAGGCTGGGAGACAAACCACTAAACAGGTGTCAAAAAATTCAATAGACATACTATCAAGGAACTAAAAACTATAAGGTGATATATTTAATGTCTAATGGTCAGATTCTGAAAGATGCAAGGGCCAAGGTCTGGGGGCAGACGGCCTGGTGCTTTGGTTGCAGTGTCATGGACAACGGGGAGACAAGAAACACAAAGACATTGCAGAGAGAGACAAGAGACAAGGATTTGGGGGACAACGTGAGAAGTCTGAATTGCATTCCAAGGGGGGTTTTACGTGAAGGAGGAGTGTAATCCAATTTGACTTTTCCCCTTACATTCATCCCAGTTGATCTGCTGAGACTAATGGAGGGGAGAGTGTGAAAGCAGAAGCCCAGCTAAGAGATTTGTGCAGCAATTCAGCTAAGAGGGGACGGTAGCTGTGATTGGGGCTTCCCCAGAAGCAGGACGGGAGAGGAGGATTTGAGTGCAATAGGTTATTTGGGGGAGGGGAGGGGCAGTGATCCAGAGCAACATGGCATGGGTGTGGTGAGGCAGAGAGGGGAAGGCTGCCAATAAAAAATATATTATCAAGCAAGTTACCACTGTGGACAACGAGAGCTTAACAGCACTGGGGAACTCTGGAAGCCATTGCAAAGCACACAGTCAAAATTGTCCCAGGTCAATTATATACCAATTCTCCTCAATATTTGGCTGCGAGCTTGTGGGGTGGGTAGTATTTTTTCCAACACTTTGAACCTGCTATCTGTGGGGGGGGGAAAATAATCGCTCAAGCAAAGGAATGCAGACATTGGCAGTGGAAAGTCAGGAAACTGAAATGTGAAGGCCTGAGGGTGGGACGCTGAGAGCATCTGCTCCCATGCTCAAACCTGCGCATGTGCTAAGGATGGCCACCTCCTCTCTTCTCAGATAGGCCACAGCCCCGGACAGCTACCCAGCCTCAACCACAGCTGACTGGCTGAGAAGCGAATGACTGACTCTAAAAGTCCAATCAGATTCTCTCTCACAAAAATTTGGACCTGAAGCAGAACAGAATCATGTAGATCTGAGAAGATGAGCTGGAAGGCCAGGTAGAGCGCAGAGCTAAAGCCGTCCTGGGTAGCAGCTGCGGAGAGCCGCGTGTCAGGTCATCTGTGGACGAAGAACCGGCTTGCAGAGAGTTATTCAGCAGATATTTACCAAGCACCTACTATGTGCTTCTTCTAGGGGTCCTGCAAATGAAGACAATCTGACACCCACCCTCCAGAAACTCGGTCTTAGAGAGGAGATGCAACAAATGATAACAACAGCACCTAAGAGAGATAATTTGCTGAAAATAATTCTCGACCTACCTTTGTCAATTGCAAAGTAAACATTCCATGGAGCTAGTTCAAAGGTTAAATCTCCCAGATTATCTTCATCGGTTGCCTGGCACACTCCAATCGTTTTCCCAATTGGGATTTCTTCGTCCAGTGTGATGTTGACTTCGCTGTGCAGAGTCGAGTTTATAGAGGTGACACTCAAGGCATCATTTTCAATACTGAACAAACTTGTTTGAAAAGAAAAGGCTATTAGAGTGGTGCTTCTTGGCGTGTATTCTTTTCTCCCCCTTACGGTGGTGGAGGGGTAAGGGGCTAGAGGCAGCCATGATGACAGTCGAAACTGACAATGTTAATAGCGAACCCATTTATTCAGCCCTTGCCTATTGTTTAGACACAATGCTGAGTGCTGTTTACACTGTTTCCATTTATTTCTCAGTCCCAGAAAGTAGGTACCATCCTCCCCTGCCCCCCTCCCCGCCCCCTCCGCCCCGACTTTACAGATGTGGAAACTAAGCTTTTAAGAACGTAAGTAACTTTCACAAGTAAATGTCAAAGTGGCTGCGGTAGGATTTGACCCCAAGCCTGTCGGACCTAGAGAATGCACTAGTATGCATGCTTAGCCACTGTGCTTAGCCCCTACAGTAAGAACCAATGCCTTAAAATTGCCGGCCCCCACTGTGTTTTTATAAACACCCTGGTGGCCATTTCAACCAGAATTTCCTTGAAGGTTGTGAGAGGTAATCCAGCCCATCAGACATTAAGAATACTAATAATACCTTATTCTGTTGTAATTTCAACACATTTTGTACTTTAAAACTATTTTATTTGCCCTGGCCAGATGGTTCAGGGGGTTGGAGAGTTGTTTTGTAAACCAAAAGGTTGCAGGCTCAATTCCAGATCAGGACACATACCGAGGTTGTGGGTTTAATCCTTGGTTACAGGAGGCAAACAATCGATGTATTTCACCTCTCTCTCTCTCTCTCTCTCTCTCTCTCTCTCTCTCTCTCTCTCTCTCCCTCCCTCTCTCCCTCTCTCCCTCTCTCCCTCTTTCTCTCTATCCTTCTCTTCTCTTTCTCTAGAATCAATAAAAACATCCTAGAGTGATGATTTTTACAAAACTATTCTCAAATTGCTGTTTTTAAGAGAGCCTTTTCTTTAGAATCTTAACTGATTGTTTACATCTTACTTGTTTATTTTCCTTCTCAGGAAAAAAGAGAAACATTGCATACTAATGGAAATTTCATTAATGAATTTCAGAGATGACATTTTCCTACCCAATTTCCAAGGTCAATTAAAAGACTTTTATCTTCTTACCTGCAGGTAAGAACTGGGTCTTTATTGTTGACATTGATGAGGAAAATCTTTAGATTCCCGGCAGCGAACAGTCCTCCGGGGTCAACCACTTTAATAGCTAGTGAGAAACTGAAAGTGTAGCCACAGGAAAGACAGTTAAGATTTTATAGTAACTAACAGGCTTTCACAGAAACAGAATCTCTGGGGCTTCACTGGCCCGTTAAAACAATTGATTCATTTAGTTAAATTGTCAGTCAAACCAGTTATTTTAACTGTTGGAAATGACTGGCACTTCGTTAGGATCCAAGTTAACTAAATCTGTTGAAAGAACAGGCAGGAACTTAGAAAGGTCTGTTAATCCCCATCAATAATAAAAAGCACCGTGGATTGCTTAGCCTGGTAGAGCAAACAAAGCTGTGGCTATGGGCTCTTACCGTAAACGCCGACCTCTCAGTGCTGAAAACTGATGGCAAATGCAGAGAAGGTGGTAAGAGCGCGTCAAGACAGCATTGTGACTATGGGGACACATTAGGAGGGCGGGGTGACGAAGAGGTTTTATTTTAGCAGATATGTGTATGGGTTTGAGGCATGAGAGTGCCTGAAATGGGGGGAAAATATGTCCTAATGGAAAGATGACTGTGTCCATAACTGGGATCCAGACAGCAGTCCTGACTTGCGGGGACTGTCTTGTAGCACTGACAGCCCCCCTCACATCCTGGGAAACTGCTCAGGCCCAGGCAAACCCAACAGCTGCTCACACCCTTTCAGAAGAAAAAAAAAAATTCTGTTCTACCTTGAAATGTACTGATAATTGAGACCAAAATTACTATTTTCCTTCTATTTAGACTAAAAATTGAACAAGTTCTCAATTTTCCTCCTGTTTTATAACTTTTTCCACCAGAAGATTATTATTTTTGAGATTGAGATAACTTCATAGAAATCAGAAAGCCAATTCACTTTTTAGAATAAAGACATTGCCCTGGCCAGGCAGCTCACTTGGTTAGAGTGTTGTCCTGACACGCCAAGGCTGTGGGTTTGATCCCCGGTTAGGGCACATACAAGAATCAACCAATGAATGCATAAATAAGAGGAACCACAAATCTGTTTATAAATAAATAAATAAATATTTTAAAATAATTCTAGGACATCTCAACTATAAGAATGGAAGGAATGAGGAATGAGGTAGGGACAGGATGCCACAGCCCCAAAGACCTCAGATTACATTCGGTCTAGCTGGATGCTGGAGAGGTGACTGCAAGGGAGGGAGGAAGGACTGAGCCCTTCTAACTCTTGCATCAGCACTTGAACAACCAATTTCACTGCCCTTAGGACTCCTTTGAAGGGAAGGAATTGATAAGACTCAAAGGGTGATTTCCAAAATGTCCTTTGTTCCCACTCCAAGGTCAGCTCAGAGACCAAGAAACTAGAGGAATGAAGGAATGGTCTTCTCTCTGGAGAAAGTTAGTGAGAATCCATTGCAAAACATTAGCTAAGTAATAATTTTTTAAAGTTCTACAAACAGAGCTTCAATTTTTGTGTCAGCGCCTCTGATTTCAAAGATACTGAAAAAGGGGAAAGTTTAGCTTTCACTTATCAAGAAAACAATTTTTAAAACTCTCGCCAAAGCCGGTTTGGCTCAGCGGATAGAGCGTCGGCCTGCAGACTGAAAGGTCCCAGGTTCGATTCCGGTCAAGGGCATGTACCTGGGTTGCAGGCACTTCCCCAGTGGGGGATGTGCAGGAGGCAGCTGATCGATGTTTCTCTCTCATCGATGTTTCTGACTCTCTATCTCTCTCCCTTCCTCTCTGTAAAAAATCAATAAAATATAAAAAAAAAACTCTCATTATTGACTTTTACTCCCATTTGTTAACAAAGCTTAACAGTTAGAAATAACTTGAAATATGCATAAACATTTTTTCATGAGGTACACCAGGCCAAAATAATCTGTGATGGATATTATCCATTATTCCCAGAGCTACAGAGACCAAATAAACAGAGGAATATGGGAAAACGGATGAAGATTTTGACAAATTTTCTGTCCTCAAAATAGATAAAGATAATACAGATTTAGGAGAACTCTCCTCCAGCAGACTTGGTGCAGTCAGCAGGAGAAAACTGTTTCACTAAAGATGCTAACTCAGGGACTGTACCATCCTCAGCTTTCGTAATCGGGAGACTCTCCTTATGAGATTCAGGGGCAAGTGTATGGTGAGGGCTTGCCGGTCCGACTGCTTTTCCAGGAAAGCACTTTGATGCAGAACATATGACTGAAAAGGGTGGTAATAAAAACCATATTAAAAATAGTCATAATAACTGCACACCAGTGGCTACCCATTTGGCAGATGTAGAGGGAGAAGGAGGAACTGTCAAGCAATTAACTTTTCAAAGCTGCTGGATTAAATTGTGAGTGAATTGTGCCCCAGCTGTCCAGAGAGAATCCCCGACTTCCACCTCAGGTCGCAAACACCGTCACTGAAACATCCCAATGCTGGGCTCTGGGAAAACTGGGTTAGCAGACGGGGGCCAAAACAGCCACATCCAGTACTTGTGCAGTCAGAGTTTGGGTGATGATTTCATATTTAGGGCAATGCTAACAGCACCTTCATTTGGGAGCCCGTTAAGGCCAGATGGGGGAAACGTCCTCACAGACAGAGAAATATGAACCAGAGGGCGGGTGTTTTGAGTGAACGAAAAACCAGTCGCAGTATTTACCTTCTAGCTTCCCTCTCAAAATCAAAAACCGCTGCTGTAGAAATTGCTCCGATGCTGTCGATTGTGAAGCCAGAGCCCTCCGGGAAAAGGAAGTACTGTTTATCGGACAGTGGGAAGAAGGCAAGACATTACAGAGACACCGACAGATTCCCCAGCTAGAACCAGGCCTAACTGCCTGTGTGCTCTGGGCCCTCCCGCCCGCCCCATGTATGATAGGTGTGCATTGCACATTTGCCAATAATAATGATGATGAAATTATACTCCATCCAACTGCCTGCAGGCCAGACAACATGTCCTTAAATATTTCAAATAAATTTCCCTAGTCTCTTACATTCAGTATGTTACCTGAACATTTCTCACGTATAACACTCCACTCCAAGCTAAAGTTAAGTTCAAAAGAGTTGCATTTAAAGAAATGAGCTGGCTGGGTGATGAGAACTCGGAGATTATTTTTTGTTTGGTGCTTCTGAAGATACTGATTTTTTTTGGAGGGGATGTTGAGGGACAGGGAGCTAGAGAGGGGAAAACTAAAATCCTAAGCATCTGTTGACTAGCATCCCATTGACCTCCATTTATACTATCTTCCAGTTAGTCCGCTAAATGCTTCAAATGCATTGTCTTTTAATTGTCACAGGTACAGATGCTATTCCTATTTCATAGACAGGAGTACTGAGGCTTAGAAAATGCAAGTGGCTTGCTTGCCCCAGTCTGAGAGCTGAGCTTTTAGTCACTTTACATAATGCCTCTCCGCTCACCACACTGCATCCCTAAGCAAAACTTTTGCCAAAGAGGGAAGGTGAGGTCAAGGTTTCTAGATTAGGCGAGAGTCAAATGATTAGAAAAGGACCGGCAAAAATCCATTAGAGGATTAATATCAGGAGTTAATTATCCTGAGTGCTACTGACTTAATAATTGTGTAGACCCAGAGATAATTTAATAGAGAAGATTAAACACAGAAGGTTTGCAAAGCAACCTAAAAATTGTTTAGAGAAATTCGTGACCTTTTAATTTATCGATTTTCTGATGAATCATCATGTCCTGATTAATTTAAATTCGTACCATCATTTCTACACATATAAATAGATGGAATTGATTTCTGCTTTATTTTCTTCTTTAATTTTTTTAAATTGATTTCAGAAGGAGAGGAAGGGAGAGAGAGAAACTGATGGGTTGCCTCTGGGATGCATCCCAACCAGGTATCAAACCAGTAACCTAGAGCCTGCCGGTGTGGCTCAATGGTTGAGCTTCAACCCATGAACCAAGAGGTCTCTGGTTCGATTCCCTGTCATGGCACATGGGTTTTGGGCTCACTCCCCAGTGGGGGGGTGCAGGAGGCAGCTGATCGATGATGTTTCTGTCTCTCTCTCCCTCTCCCTTCCTCTCTGAAATCAATAAAAATACATATTTTTTTAAAACACCGCAATCTGGGTATGTACCCTGTTCGGGAATTGAACCCATGACCCTTCAATGTACAGGAGGATGCTCCAACCAACTGAGCCACACCAGCCAGGGCCACTTCTGCTTTTTTTGTAGAACTAGGCTGTCGACTATTAACAGTCAGGAACTAAGGAAAATCTACCACATATTTACTTTTTGGGCAAACACAGGAATGATGATGCCTGTTTCACGGCTTACAAACACTAGGGTTGCTTATATATAAATGCATATAATTTTTTTAAGTTGCCCTCATTTATGTTTGTTGTCACTTGAAAATTTGCAGTTCCCAATTCCACTTCAGTATTACATGGTTGTCAGCAATTGTTTGGAAGAAAACATATATTGGGAAGCTGTATTTTTATGATGTTTAACTTTTCATAAAATGAGATAGTCTTTTAAAAAAAAAAATTGATGGCACTGATATGCAGGAGGGCTGCCTGCCACTGTTCCAGGAAGGTTGGAGCCCGCGGTTGCTAGGCAGCCAGGGCATCGCTGTAAAGCCACCGAAATGAAAGATCCCTGAATAGGAGGGCAGTCCAAGGGACGCGAAATTAACTCTCTGTGGGGCCAGGCAACTGAAATTCACTCCCCATCCCCCAGTCCTTGGTAATAACACCACGGTTGATAAGGAAAAGTAATAGCAATGGCAGCCCCATTCCCAGGTCCCGGGGTGTGACCTCAGCTCTCAGAAGGGAATGTGAGGTGAGAGGAGCCTCGGTCCTGCTGGCTGGACCTACCTTCAAAACCCAGTTTCTCTGAAAGGCTTGTTCTTGACTATTTGCTTTCAGAGAAGCTGGGGAATTGGAAATGTCAGAGCTGGAAGCGCAGGCCATGCCGTGAGGGGAGTTGGGGCCTCAGTGCTGGGAACGATCACAACGGCACAGCCTGAGACTGGGCTCCATGTCCTTAGCATCGGTGACAATAAAAACAACTGTGAGGCGCCCCCCGGGTTGGCTCAGTGATAGAGCCTGCGGACCAAAGGATCCTGGGTTTGATTCCGGTCAAGGGCATGTACCTTGATTGCAGGATCCTCCCGGCCCGGGGCCCTGGTCAGGGCTCCTGTAGGAGGCAACTCGTCAATGTGTTTCTCTCATGTCAATTTTCTCTGTCTTTCCCTCTCTCTTCTACCCTCCCTAAAAATCAATGGAAAAGTATCCTTGTGTGAGGATTAAAAAACACACAAAAAAACAAGTGCGAGGGGCCACCAGGGACGCTGACCCAGATTCTGTGCTCATCACCTTCCTGAACTGTCTCATTTACCCTATAAGGATGCTGTGAGATGGGAGTATTCTCAGCCTATATTACAGGTGGGGAAACTGAGCTTACAAATGTTAAGAAAACGGTCCAAGAGCCCATAACCAGTGAGTGATTACACTGAAACCCAAGCCCGTGACCTTCTGACCCCAGAGTCATTGTGTTATCCAGCCTGTCTTCCCAGGAGAAGGATGGTGTACATTTCTTTTTTAAAACGTTGTATTTAAAATTTTTTTTCAAATGATTTATGTGGGGATTAAAGAATCTAAGTGGTTGAAGACATAGAAACAAAGCAACTCAGTGTTACTGTTTACAAAGGAAAAGAGGGGATGGGGAGAGAATGGGAGTATGGCAAGGGGAGGGGAGGCTAAGATGGAGCCCTGAGAAACTTTCAAAATTTAAAGGTCCATAAAGGAAGATGAACCAGGAAAGAAAATAAGAAAGAGTTGTCATAGAGGTAGAAAATAAAAACCCAAGAGTTTATTATTCTAGAATACTAATAATATTCCCTAATATTTATTGAGCACTGTCTGCCAAACATTATTCTAAGCCCTTTGCATGCATGACCTCATTTCATCTTCATAACGGCCCTGAGGTAGTTCTTATTATTAACCCTGTTACAAACAAAACAACTGAGGCACAGAGCTGGACAGTGGTAAAACCTAAAATTTAAGCTGGGCTATCTAACATTAGAATCTGAGCTCTTAGGCTGATATACTGTGTTTGATTTGTTAGTTAGACCCAAGGTAATATTTTCTTGAAGGAATTAGTACATAAGTAGCATCTGGGCTAATTTTTTTTCTATTTACCAAAATATTCTGTGATTTTTCTAAAGCACAAATACTAGCCAATCATTGATCACCTACAAAACTTTTTCATAGGAGAGATACATTTTCAAGAAAACATTTTAAAGCCATAAACACAGATATGATTCTAGACTGAGCATTAACTATGTCCATGCCACCTTGCATTTAGTCCTCGGCCTGTACTAGCCTCACCCTGAGCATTCTCTGCAGTGGGAGCACAAGAGAACTGGCACTTGCCCTTGCCCTTGAAATCCTTGGAGTTTCACAGGCGATTCCTTTCCTTGTCCTTCAAGTTCGAGGGCACTCTATTACGTTCACTTTATCGACAAAAGGAATAGATTGCTACCTATAACTTACACTGGACTATTAGATCCCTCATTCTTCCAGAACAAAGCCTTATTAACCCTCTCGAACCCTGTCCCAATGGTTAGCTACAGTTCAAGACCTCCACTCAAGCATGCAGCCTACTATCTTTGCTGGCTGAACCCAGACTCAGCCTCAGAATCCTTCTCAACACACCTGAGAGCCTCTGAGCGTCAGTGAGAGAGGCATGCAGGTTGAAACGGATCTGCCACCCCTGGCTGAGCCAGGTGCTCCAGTGGACTTACCCAGGTGCTTATTACACACCCAGTAATGGCCACAGCATTTGCAAAGCTAACTTTACAAACCTTTTTGCCATGTTCTCAGCCTGTGGCTCATGGCCCACCTACACGTTAAAAACCTTCATCCATGAGTTAATTGTTAAAGCTGGATAATTCAGTGGCATTCATTATACTGTCCTCTCTACTTTTATACATATAAAATTTTTATTTTTATTAGATATGCAGATCTAATGGGGTACAGAGGCCTTGGAATGTGAATTTGTAACAATGGGCTGACCAGAGTAACTTTTATGCAAAGTTGGTTTTTTTAAAATACTAGTATATTTTTATTGTTTTCAGAGAGGAAGGGAGAGGGAGAGAGTGAGAGAAACATCAATGATGAGAGAGAATTATTAGTCAGCTGCCTCTTGCACGCCCCGTACTGGGGATCAAGCCCGCAGCCCGGGCATGTGCCTT